TAATATTTTGTTCATATGATCATAAAACGTCCATAATAAAAAAAATATTAAGAGGCCAAATTCATCATTGCCTTTTCGAAACCCTAAAAGGTGTGCCAATAAATGGCGACTAACAGTCGAAGGTATTACACGTGCGTCATTTAAATAATTAAATAATATTATTGTTTGAGTTAAAAATACTTCCACAAATAGAAGCAATCCTAAAGAACTCTGTTGCTCTCTCATTCTAATGTCACTCACTCAAGAATCCTTGGTTTTGCATGTGCTTTCGTATATGCATCTGGTGGATCTACGATGTTGCCGCTAGCCGACGCTGGCATCGAGGCCAGGGTCTTGCTTGTCGACCTGATCGATCCTGATTCCCCAACAACGTTCTTGCCAACGCCCTTGCCTCCATCAGATCCTGTGATCCCTTCAGCACCATCTGCTGCCGAGCCCCCAGCTCTTTCATCTAGGCAACCATAGCCCTGTCGAAAAGCCGAAGTCTGCGAGCCAATGGCGCAGGCGGCATCCAAACTAGATGCTGAGACAGTAGAGGTAATTGAGGCAGAGCCGGTTAGCGGTTCCGTCATCTGAGGCGAGTAAGCCCAACGTACAATTGCCTCAGGATCGAGAAGGCCTTGTTTACTAAGTCGCTCGAGTAGGATGACAATTAATTGGGCTTGGTTTGACCATACTGATTGGAAGATGTGCAGCAATTCCATTTGCGACTCCACTGTAGAACAGAGGCCACGAATCACATCAGCATAACTAAGGACAAATGATCGATTGCAAAGAAAAAACAAAATATAAATTAGTCCACTATTCCATCAGCAGAGATAGTGTGGTCTAATAAAAAAAAATAAAGGAAGTAAATTATTTAAGATAGTTATTATCATTTGTGACAATATGCAAAAGCTATTTTATATCGAGTAAACATAGTTCACTTAAGGTAACATAGGGACTTAAAGATGGATATCACGGAAAAAATTAGAAAGCCTTAAATGTCATTAAATCGCACTTAGCGTTACCAATTAGAGAACATTTCATTCGTAATGGAATGCGTTTTGAAATTCGAAAGATATGGAGATTCAAGCATGAACGTGAGAGGCGCAAATTAGTTACGTTATAGATATGACTTCCAAGATAAGCCAGACTAATCCCATTTTAGCTCTTACTTGATTGTTGTGGGCAAGTTATGTTTATATTTTACATTTAAATCGGCGATATTACTGATTAGAAAATAAATGTATTAAAACTAGCAATGGATCTCAGGTAATAGTCTTTAGTTGCCTTTAAACTAGTCTCACAAAAGTAGTAATAGGAAGAGACACATCAATATTCTCATGTCCTGAGAACACTGGCACCAGAGGATGTGTGATTGAATGGTAGTTTTCTTACTTGACCCATATAATTTGGTTTAAAATTCCTTTATTGAGAGCTGATAAGACTCAGAAAAATTAGAAATCCTTTAGAGACAAGTCTACGAGAAGTTAACAATAGGCCTCCCGTCTTCTTAAGTGAACTAAAACAGCTCTTGCTCTTAAAGTATTTAATAAGCGGGGGTAACAGGGTATAAAAGCAGAACAAATTAAACAAGTATGAGTCTATTTATGGCTGTTAACGTCCTAGCACTTATTCGCTGTTAACAACACGAAGAGTCTTGAGCTTCAAATATGTTAGCATGGTCATTGCAGTAATAGGTGCCGCATGTGCCATCAGGCAAAAATGTACAGTTGCTAATAAATGTAATAAAAATAGCCATATAAAGAGAAAGAAATCCCAAGAGTAATTAAGTAAATCAATAAAGGATTCAACCGACAAAATCGCTTGGACAAGGCACAACAAAATCGATGCGCAAAAATTTTTTCTAATACCGTGTATATGTTCGCCGACCGCGATAAGATAAAAGCTAAAGCAAATTTGCAGGCATGATTAAAATAACTTTATATATGAGTAAGTTGACCTCGTGTTCTTAACATGATCTTGTTGTCAGGGTGACTTAGTTGGACGCATTTTGTCCGAAGCACAAAAGTTTCAGCAGAAAGTTGGTTAAGGGATTAAGTTACTTGTTTCTTTGACGAGTTGTAACTTGATGCTGAGAATGGCAAGACTCCCTAATGATGCTGATTACGATGCCGACGAAACGTCTGAAAACGTACCATCTCCACTGTCTGATGCTGGGAATTATTAAACC